ATTAAAAATAAAGGGCTATCCAGAGTAAAAAAAAATACTACCAACCTAATAAAATATGGGCAAAGGACAAAGGTAATCAGTTAATGGAAAAAGAAATACAAATGATCTTTAAACATGAAAACATTTATAATCTACCTCAAAGGAGAGAGATGCAGTTAAATAGTGATTAGATTCCACTTTTTCACTTGCCAGATCATAAGTATTAATAATTACAATATGGGAAATGGAAATCTCATATGTTATTACTGGAAATTCAATTGATATGTGAATATTGTTGTATATACTTTCAGTAGCCATCTTGTAATCATAGGAACAAGCCAAGGGCCAAGAAAACACAATGAGGATGGCAAAAGAAAGAGATAGAAAGAACTCAGGTCTTCATTTATGTTATTGAGTTACTGTGATGTGATACCTAGAGCTAGCTTACATCTGGACTTACATGAGATAATATGTCTGTATTGTTTTAGTCAGATTTGAATTAGAAATATTTACAGCTGAAAATATTCTAAATAAATGCATGTATAACATACTTGTACATATATTATGTATAGCTCTACACATAGATCTATACTGTATATATATTAAATTTGAATATACTGTTAATAAATCTATTATAACAGTTTCTCTATATTTGGATTATACTGTTTTCAGTTTAAAAATGATATATAGCTGCAGTTTTACATAGATCTATAGATCTAAATGTGTGAATTTGCTTTCTTCATGTAAAGTTTTAGAAGCAAAATCAATATGAAGGCAAACTTTTAACAAATTAAGCAGATTTTATTTGAGCAAAGAACAATTTTCCAGTCAGGCAGGCCTCAGAGTCCTAAAATGGTCAGGGAACTCTAAATGTGGGCACAAGGCATTTACACATAGGAAAAGGAAGTGAGGCAAAGAAACCTGATAGGTTCTAGCTCTGTCTTTGCAGTGCTTGGGCATGGTCTGATCGGTTGGCACATGTGATTGTCCAAAACTCAGCTGCTGTGATTGCCTGACACTCAGCCATTTGTTACAAAATATATTCTTGAATCAGGCTTTTAGTTTGTTAACATCCTAAATTAAGTTGTGGTTCAATTACACAGAGACAACAGAATTAGCCTTAAAGTCAGCTTAATTTAACATTACAAATTGGAAGAGTGTTCATTTCTGATCATCCTTAGAACTAGCTCTAGATATTAACATAACAATTTAATGCAACTGTTGATGAAAGAATATCCTTTACATTTTTATTAGTGAGGCTTAACAATGTAGATTATTAAAATATTACATTTTTTCCATGAAGTGCTTGTCAAATCAGAGTCACAAAGAAAAGAAAATGTAGCAAGTATTTGGCTATTCATTTTAAGTTCAAAAGCTTAGGCTTAGTTATCAAATATAAAGAGTTATACATTTCTGAGTCATAGATTGACTCAGAAAGAACCCATTCCAATATATTTTCACTTAAAGATCACATGAGTTAATCATAACTGAGAATTTGTTAGGGGGAAAGATGTTTCAAACATTGGTGGGTTTTGATGTTCTACTCACAAGTTGAACTGAATGAAGGAAGACAGAGGAAATATACCTCTCTCTACTGCTAGGTGCGGAAGAACTCATCTTCTTTAAAGGAGTGACTCTAGATAGACTGACTAGACCCCAGTGGATGAGCATGCACTGAAAAACATTAGGGGATACTAACTTGACTTGATAGGCCTTAACATAAATGACAGAACGCAGGAAATCCAGTTGGAGGGGGCCTATGGGAGGGTGCTGGTGGGGAAGTGGGTCTAAAGATGATTAAGATGCTCAATAAACATCTTAATGTTGTCAATAAACATTAAGATGTTCAATAAACAACAAAAATGCAATAAAAATTTTAAAAATAAAAAATAAATTGAAATATTTGAGACAAAGATCATTTTTCCTGAGTGTGGTCCAGGGGGAGGATAAGAAGATAGTTTCTAATGGTATCATGTGTGTAAACAGTGTATATAACAGGAGAAAACTTGAAGTTAAAAGCTAAAGTCAGCTTTGAAGCAATTAAAAGGTTTCATTTTTTTCTACATATGAGTTAATGACTAAAAAATTGTACCGCTACATTTGTATTTGCATTTCTTCCACCATATATGCATATGACCTTTTAGTCATGGATCTTTTTGAGTATCAACCCCCTCATTTTGAAAATGGAGATAATATGCATGTAACCTACTTTTATCCTGGTAGTACATACTCATTTGTCTTGCCAGGGGTCTCATGAGTGGTTTATTTCTGCCAAGTTGAACACACTATGTGAAGCCCAAGCACAAATTAGATAAATATACCAGATAAGGCTGTGCCAGTACATATGGTCAAGTTCTAGTCCCTGTCACAAATCCTTTCCTGAAATGAACAGATTTTGGCTAGAACCAGGAATATTTGATCAAGACATCTGGTCAAGCTGGATAGAGCTGACTGTTCAGTCTACACATCTCTGTAAAGGAGCTCTTCTGGCCCTTCAGTTGCAGAGCTGTCCCTCCCATGAACCTACCTGGTGCAATTTGCTTCAACCACAGGGATACCCCTAGCCTGTAAGTGGATGGAAATGTAGTTGGTTTCCCTTGAATTTGTTTAAAATTCTGATTCTGAAGCTCTAAGGCATTTTTTCATTATGTTACAACTCCTGGTAAAGTCTAGATTTGGGGGCAATTTTACTGGCTGCCAAAGTATATCAACAAGCAGAGGGTTGGAAAGTCTTTATCTATTCTTCTTTGTTGTAATTTATGTCATATGACACCTGGCTTGGTTCAGAGTCCAAGATAACCTGGGATTTTCCAGTATAGCTTCTCAATAGGATGCAAGTAGCCACATAATCCACTACATTACTTGAGTTGCTTAAGAAGTATGCAGCTTTTCAAGAAGATATTCTTGGGGCTTGAAGCCAGGCAGTTGCTGCAGCAACCGTCCAATTATTTCCACTTGCTAACACAGATTTTCTCCTAAGGCCACTTTAGTGTGTTCAGAAGACTAGTGGTTTCTGTTTGATTTTTGCCTTTTGAATTAAGTCTCAGTATTGTCAGGATCTGATGACATCAGGTAGTCAAATTTTCCTGTGCTGATGTATTTTGGTTTGGGCTGGTTGGAGGTAATGCCAAAATCCAGATTTCCCTGGGATCAGAGCCAAGAGACATTTAGCTATTTAGTCAGAGTTAGTGTCTGTGGAAGCAGATCTGGGAAATTCTTATGGAGGATCTTTGGCCAAAACTGCATAATCAAATTTTGTTGTGAATATGACCCTTCACAAGACATTAGGGAAAAAAATAACCCAATACTTGTGGGAAAAGTTTTAATAGAATAATCTCGAAATTCTAGGAAACAAAGGGATAAATTAGTTGGCTATTTTATAGTCTTGGTTTAAAGTTACCTTTAAAATTAATTGAATCAGGTAAGGGACTTTCGTGGGAGAACTTTTAGAAAACCTCTTTAGGATCCAAATGTGAGATTTCTTAAGTTATTTCTAATGAATACTGTTATGCCTGGTCGACATATATAGAATTAATTCAAGGAAATTTTACTAAGGTCAACTTTTAAAGAAAGTAAATGTATGATGTGTATTCAATAAAAAAAATCCACCTTATAATCAGATTACACTGTTAAACACATCTTTCTTATAGTAATATAAAACTGGGATCAATGAAAATGAAGAAAGTGTGTCTGCTCCATTGCCAAATTGTGTATTTCTGCACCAAGAATACTTAGTGGAATGTTAAAACCAGTGTGAACTATTAAATCTTTGTAAGTCATGCTAATAGAGAACTGTGTGTCATTGTTATATTTTATGCCTATCAAATAAATTGGGGATCCATATAGGTAAAACCTTCCATTCTAGAACATCCTGTATTTTCCCAGGATATGCATTCATTGAGGTATTTTGATGTGTAGTGTATTAGATTGCCCCTTTAGTTATATTTTCCCTCCAGATAGAGTTTTAAATGGCATCAAGATAATATTACTATAAACCATCTAGTTAAATCAAATGTACTTTTTCCAAAGATTGCAAAATTCCATCTAGATATGAATGACTAAATTTAGCACCATTTTTCATCACCTGACATCCTACTCAGAGATGACCAAAATGGGGTATAGTTTAATATGTTTTGCAATGTGAAAACTAGAACTCAATGGGCATGCAAATGAAATTTAACACTGTATTTCACATTATAGACAAATCACAGCTTGTATATTATTGCCCAAAGTCTAATTTCTTAGCTGTAAAATTTGTAGTAGTCATGTCTTATTTTTAAAGAGGTGTTCCAATTATTTTAAATAGTTTTTTTTATCATGTTACAACTTTAATAGATGCTATTATAATGAATGATAAAACAAATATAATGGAATTTATATGTCTCTTCCTTACATATTAATATATAAACAGAATTATTAAAATTGTTTGTATTAAGATAATTATTCATTTAGGAATAATATCATAATACAATTATAATCACTTGCTTTCCCATTCATCTTAAGTCACTGCTTAATGGCCTAATTCCCAAACTCACAAAGGTATAGGGGAAGGATATATTTATGTATAGTGTTGCACTGAGGGTTTCTAGGTAATCTTAAATTATTTTGCTATTCAGTTTGAACACTGGTGACCCCAATGCTCAGAAAAATGTGCCAATATCTTCAAGTGCCTGAAGAAAGATAAAGTTTCCTGTGTCCCTGCGGCTTCAGCAGAACTTGTAACCCTAGGCCCATGTACCCTTGCCAACTGCAATGCGTTTGGAAATCAAACCTATGAAAAAATATAAACAGTTTTTAGGTCAAGATAGGGAGAAATGAAACAGATAACACTAGTTCTTGCTTCTATGTATATAAAACAAATTCACTGAGACTATAGTAACAAAACTTCACTCATGAGAACTGGAGCATGTATTTCATGTTCCTCAATCAAGCTTTTGTGCTAAACCACTGAACTTTTATAGTAGAGTAAAAAAAAAAAATAGGAACCCACAATTAATCATTATAACATAAAACTGTGATGCTTCTCAAAAATGTGCAAACACTTTAATATAATTTATGTTGTTTCTACACATTTTATGTAAGAAATAATTTCACTTAGCTATACGTATAATGAATTTGATTAACAAAATCCCAATTACAAAACAGAAGTAAATTAAATGAAGAAATATATTTATCATCAAATTATAAAATAAAAATAACAGTTCTTATTGAGAAATCATATTTATTTTTCTTTAATTAGATAATGGAGTTAATCATTTTGGTATGTTTAGTAATATTTATAGTATTAAAATAATGGAACGTTGAGATTTGAGTACAATGACAATAAGCCACTGAAATTTCACATTCACCTTATACAGCCACCATGAATCCATAAGTGAATGTTGAAAATGTAAAAAAATATAAAATGATTGTAATATAACCATCTAACCATTAACATGTGGAGTTTTAAGACCCACTATTTAATCTGCTAATTTGCTCTGAAATATAAGCAGTTGCTTTTCTGTGATACATAACATGTCTTTGTGCCTTAATACTTAATTTGAAATATCATTAGTGTAAAAATATACCAAAGTAAATAAAAAAGGAAACACTTATTTACAAAGCAATATTGTATACATATTATATAAATGCAATTGTTTCAAAGTCTTTTATACAATATTGATAAAATCAGTCATTTCCATTATTTTACCACAAAACTTCAATGTTGCAAAAGCAAGCTATAATTTTTGAAATTTTGATGAAAATGAATAGTAAATGGCTGCCTTTTAAGATAAAGTAGTTTCTCCCTCTATGCTACAGAATTGCAAGTTGGCCTCTAGAAAAAGGATTCTTCTTTCTTTAAAGAAAATCCATCCCCCATTTAGAGATGTATGAAAATGAACTCGAAAGAGGGAGAGACTTAGGTTACTGAGTGTGTTCTGCCTGATAAACTTAGTAATATTAGCCATCCAAACTATTGTATTAGCACCTTGGCATGGATTATTAGCACACTTTCCAATTACAATAGGAATGGAAATATGCACATGGGGTACCATCCCTATTTTTGGTGGAATTCTATCTTACCACATATGCTATCATACAATATAAACTCAAGTGTATAAGGATGTTAAAAATGGTGACAGATAACAATCCTGCACTTTACCAAGGCTATGTATGTATTGATTTTCTATAAATATTAAGTGAAAGTGTGAAGAAATGGACTTTACCTTTAAAGCATACCCCTTTAATTCACCAGACCACAAGGAGAATTGCTTACATTTTCTCGCCTAGATTGTAGTTGTAATATATATGAACATAAATATAATTTGATCTTCTTTAAGTTCAAAATCTCCAGAAATCATAAAATCTCCTATTGTATGATTTATTCTGATGGTTAAATGCCAACCATTTCTTATATTCTCTCTTTCATTCATACACTGTAGCTGTGTTTAAGTGACTATAGCATGCTCGAGGCCTATGGCCTGTGGTACATAATTTCACAGTTTCAAAATTGTTGAGAGGAAGACCTTCCGTGATTTAGGAAGTTACAAACCTAATGCAAATCTCATGAGCATCCACATCGGTCTACTACCATTGCTGGGATTTTCCCATATATTATTTGCTCTTTGCCATTAAAATATAGCATATTAATTGGAGACATTTTTGTGGGCGTACAGCAAGGGCCTGCTGAACCTCTGGGATTTGCTTGATGGACAAGATGAGTATGAGGATATTTTTGTAAAAACACAAATTCACACTCTCCAGAGCAGTAATTGGCCTTATATCTTTTGGGTGCAATAATCCAATCCCATCCGAAAGCTTCAAAATCCACTGTGAGAGGGTAACGGCAGCATCGGGACTCTGTGGAGTGCTCATCACAGTCAAGACCAAAGTCTCTTCTGGATCTTTTGGGTGTGTCTGTGACTTTGACCTCTAAAAAGGGATTCTGTGTGGAAAGGAAAGATTCATGAATTATATTAATAGATCCTGAAACCCATCTTAACTTAAAAAGTCATTACTAAAAGGAACATCATTCTTATACAACATGTTTATTATTTTAAGAAGTGCAACATTAAGGAATTTATATTTATACTAGGGTTGATTTTCCTTTTTATGACCCCAAAGAATACAGCAGCAACAGACATTTACCCATAGTCAATTCACACAATGGCTCTTTTTTGCTCCCTGTATTATCAGACTGCCTAGCACATAATAGATGTCTAGAAAATATGAGTTAGATGAAAGAGAAGGAGGGAGAGAAGAACGGACAGATGAACATCCTCTCTTCATCACTAGTGATGACATGTTAGCTGCATGTATCTAATGACTCCTGGAGGACTAGATATACTCATCTGTCCTCTGTTCCCTAGGTCTTCCCCAAGGAAGGAGATGTTAAAGCGAGAGCAAAATAGCTACTTCTGAACATTATATAAATTGTGATGGGAGAAAGGAAATTAGGATGATGAAGGTAGCTATATGTATGTTGGGTTGAAAGAAGGAAAGAACAGATTTATAAGAAGAGATGAGCTTTGTGGGGCTGCAGCTCAGTAGTAGAATGCTTGCCTGGCAAGTGCAAGGTCCTGGGATCAATCCCTAGGACAGGAGAAAGGGGTGGGGGAGATGATATTTATCACCTTTCTTATGTTTTCTTTTTTCTTTCATTGAGAACTATTTCTGTTCAGAAATTTACATACTAATTTTCTAGCCTTGTGACAGCCTCTGTCTTTCAGTGCATATGAGACTATTCACCTTTAAAAGGGAAACTCTGAGGAATGCCATTTAACCACATTGTCAATCATTAAAACCTGCCCCCTTAGCAACTTTGATAATTAAAATACTATTTATAAAACGGAACAGTTTTAAGTAGTTGATAGCAATATTATCTTATATGAAAATGAAAATAGACTTGGTTGTTGCGATTGTCAAAAAGAACTATTATTTGAGGAGCACACTGAATGAGTAGCACATAGAAAGAAAAGTAGATCGTTTAGAGAATTGCAATGCTTTGAACAATGTACTTCACATACAACAGATCTGATTTCTTGACTACATATTCTGAACATCACTTAAAGGTTTAAAAGATAATACATTTATTGTTTCTAAGTAGAATATTCCATTATACAATATGGCAACAGATGAAAGTGAAAATCCGGTCATGTTAAGCTTTTGAAAACAGAAATAAATAAAACCTAGGTAAGACATGCAGCAACTTGAGTTTATGGAGGTATTAAAATGGTTTTTATTAATTTTTATAGTATATGAGGTCTTGTAATATCACTGGCTTGATATTTAATTAATTGGCATTTCCTAAGTGTACTCTTGTGCAAGAATGCTAAGTCAGTTCAGAAATAAGCTAGGAGGCAAAGGTTAACTAGACTGCTAATTAAAAATTTATTTCCAATACTTCATAGTACTCTATACATATAGCACTGCTTTACCATTCTGTAAGTGGTGAACATATTAACCAAAGGGAACTGTATGTGTAATATATTTAATAAAATATAGTTTGCTCTATGTAAAAATCCAGATTTTTAAAAATTCATTGGGAGGTGGAGGAGCAAAAAATGGGAAGGAGAAAAGTCATAATTCATTGGTTAGATACTAGAATCTATAGAGTTATACAGAGCTTATAATTTTACTCATATATCATGTATCATATCAATGAAAAGCACATTATATTCCATTCCAAATTCAAAAGTGCTTGTGAACTTAAGAACCATGGGACAATTGTTTTTTAGTCTTTTTTAAAATATTTTATTTATTATTTACACATGTATGCATGTATTGCCTGCATGTAGGTAAGTGCACCCGCATCATGCAATGCCCGCGGAGGACAGAAAGGCTGTTGGATCCCCTAGAACTGGAGTTACGGACAGTTGTTAGCTGCCATGTGGGTACTGGGATTCGAACCCCAGTCTTCTGCAAGAACATTCAGTGTTCTTAACCGCTGAGCCATCTCTCCAACCCGTTTTTCAGTTTTTATGCAAAGTATAAAGAGTGTCAAGGGAGTGCCTTATAGGATGTGTAATTGGACACCTACTTTTTTTAGTCCCGAACTACCTTTGGAGTAAGATACTTTGGCCTATGGGCATAGGAAACAGTAGCTGCTTTCACTATTATTCATTCATATTATGAATAAAAACATAACAAGATTACTAGAATGTTGTTTTCAGTTATCACTTACCAGCCCATCTTCTCCTGGTCCTGGGAAGGTTACAGCAAGATCATGACCATTCTCATCTAAAGCTTTGATTTCAATGCCTAAGTTGGATTCAGGCTGTTTGAGCCAATTTTGCAACACTGTCTTCACATCAATACTCTGCCAAATACCAGTGCCTGGGTTCATGTCAAGTTTCAGAGATCGGATTCCAGTATACCTTGTACCGTCTTTCATGGGTTTGATGAGTCTCAGGATTTGCACAAACACTGTTGTAGGAATCTTGACAGGCCTCAGATAGATCCACAATTGAGCTTTTACTACTTTATTGTACTGTATTTTAGAGCTAAATTTAAAGAAGCAACATTTTGGTTTTCCATCCACTTGCATTAGAAAATCAGCTATAAATGAATAAGAAAAGAATTATTGACATTATGTCCCATTAAAATATGAACAAAATCCTTCCTTATTAATAGATAGCATTTTTTTCTATTGAGACAGTGTAAGCATATGTAGCCTTTCAAAATAAAATACTATATGGAACTTCATTCATAACTCAGAAGAAATGGTGAATAAAATAATTACTCTAGCTTTCCCGAATTTGTTAGCTATCTGTACTTTCATCTGTTTATGAGGAATCTATTCCTCTTCCAGAGAACTATGGGCTAAGGGATATTTTATGAAAGAACGTAGGGCAGATGAAATCTTCAAACAATGATGAGTAGAAAGAACAAGAGAGGAACATCCACTTAGAATTCTTTGGGAATCTGAGTAGTTACACTTACTGAGCAGCTGTAGCAATCAGTCTGGAGGAAGGAACCCTTCCCCCAGGCCTGAATTACCTGGGGACAAGACACACTGGGCAACTTACTGAACCTCGGAATTGAGCAGAAAATACGGTACATCTGTTATACTTGGGCTCTGGAATAGCCTTTCAAACACAACACGAAGCGGGTAATTAGCATAAATATTTAGATATGTTCAAGTGATCCCAAAAGTAGAAAGCATCCTCTTTAGGGTCATCCTGTCAAATGGAAACATAACACTAACAATTCTTTTGGTTTTTCTAAAATTTTATGTAAATAAAGTAAACCTCCTGGATTTGGTAAAAAGTCATAAGTGAAGATTATTTGCTGAATTGTAACCTGATTACTTAGGAAGAGAAATGCTAATTTGAAACCATGTCATGTCTGGTTTAAAGAGTTTAAAGCTCTGTATTAAAGAAAGATTGCAGGCACATGGCACAAAACCTTTCCTGCCCTGACGGCTCTGTCAAAGTGCCCGTCTTCCCTTCCCCGAGAAAATATTCTTTTTGAGCTAACAGAAAAAGGAATTGTATGAAATTATCTTCCAGAAGCAACATCGTTGCTATAGGTAATAGTCCTCCCCCTCATAAAGAATAAAATCTCAAGCAGGTTCTTAATTGCAGTTCCTGCCTGAAAGTACAGAGGCAGGGTGCTCAGAGCGTCAGGAGCTTAGCACACACAGGACTTCATGGCACAACCTACCAATTAAAATGCTTATTTCCTAGACATTTTCCAATATTAGATCAAGATTATCATTTGACTGATTTCATTGTTACTTCAATCTTGCTGTTACTAATACATTAAAATTTTAAACTCCCCAGGGTAATAGCTTTCACAATTAAATACATTGATTTGTGAAGAACATTTAAAAAAAAAAAAAACAAAAAAACAAAAAACCTCTATGGGAGATAGTTTTAAATAACAGGAATCACTCTAGGTGTGGAGCAGTACTCAAACATCCAGCAAATTACTTCCTTTATTATTAGTGGAAAAACTAATGCATATTTTAGACAACCAGATGCAGTTATAAAATCCCATGTAAGTTTCACATTGTTTGTTGTATCTCCCAGTCCTTGCCTTGGTAGTATTAGACAGTGAAAACATAAGCATTCTCTCTTTTCTACATTAATCTAAATAATATTAATGCTGTGAAAGCATGTTAAATTGTAGATACTTAGCTCTAAAGAAACAAGTAAAGCAGACTTCATTCTCAGTATGTTTCTCAAAAAATCTTGAAGAAGAAAAAAAAAAGAAACTCTTTTCTCTCCTACTTACATACAAGCCAACAGCTTGTTAAAAGCCTGAAAATAGATCTGTTTCTCATAAACATTAGGCCAGCAGTCAGCAGAACTGTTGCTATACACTAACAGAACTACTTACACTCGGTAGGCATGGTGATGATTGTTTCCGTTGTAGCGTGATAATCATCATCTTCCAGAGAACCATCGCTGCTGTCATCCCTCTGGACATCGTACTGATCAATCAGTTCCCGGAGTGGAGGAGCTTTGGGTAAAAGTTGTCTTATAGCATCTTTGCTGATGTTAGGAGCTGTTTCCAGGCGGAGTTTACTGAGGATTTGAATTTTTATGGCTTCTATTCTTGAATATTTAGTGTTCTGTCTCCAAGTACATGCATTACACAGGCCCTCTTTTTCCACATTTTCTTTTTGCTCACTGTTCTCTTTCAGATCCACTGGACCAGCCACAATCAACATAAACAGGTAAATATAAACATAGATTTGCAGTTTTTGCATCATTTTAAAATCAGCACAATCTTTTTTCCTTTGTTCTTATTTCTTCCTTTTGCTTTGCTTTTGATTTTGAGTAATGCCAAGCAAAATTTTAATGCATGTACAGTCGGAGAGACAACCTGCCACACCAGTGAGTCTTGTGTACTGTATGCCAAGTGGCTTTTTATATTCCTGCTTAGATGAGACAAGTGTCGTCAGGATCTATGATTGGCTCCTGCTCCACAATGAATCTCGCTGTCAGAGGTTAAAACCCTGTCTGTCACAAGTCACCAAGCAGTATTTTGTTACAGTCAAGGGTGAGCTGATTCATTCGACTACTTCATAAATGAAATAAATCCCCAAATCATGAAAGATATATGTGACATTTGATAAATTGAAGTTTATGTAATGATATAAACTATACTCCAAGCTTATTAATCTCTGTAAAACTCTTGTTATGCTTTAAGTTAGTAAGTTTTAATTTATACTTCATGCTTAAAAGGTGAAATGTTACTTCTTTAACAGTTAGGATGATATTTTATTATTAAAACAAATATTTGAAGTAAGAATTTTTTGTATTAATTTTAGTGCTGAATAATTTAAAGAAATAAAAATTAGGAAGGCCTGAATTAAAAGTTAAGATTTTATTTCTAGTAAAATATTTTCATCTGTAATTTGAGAAGCTTCTTTCCATTACTAATTTCTTTGTAACTATTAAAAATCAGTCTCACTGCACTATATTGTACATGGAATTATTTTGATAGCTTGATGTCTTTTTATTAATCTGAAAGTTATGCTTGATTTTGGCCAATTACTGTTGCCATTTTCTATTCTAAAGATTCAGATTCATATCACTCAGAAGAGCTTCTTCACTGTTTAATGCCAACAGGATAATTAATGTCAAGCAGAAGGAAAATCTCTGAACTTAGAATAAGAAGCTGACGGATTTTTGTAACTGGCACTGAAGCGTTTATTACAGCTTGCCTCAGATTTCCAGGGCTAAGAGTAAAAAGTGCAATATTTGTTCTCTATGAATTATGTCAGAATCCTGTGAGCACACAAAAGAGAAAGCACCATAATAGAGGGGTACCCTTTGTTGTTTCCCAATACTGTGACAGGTTAGCACCCCTTTGCCAGTTTCTCATTTTGACCAGAGGGCAGACACCTGGCAGGGATTTGGGGTAGGGGCTGAGTGCAGAGAATAGAGCTTTTTGTTCTCTAAATTTAAGTGGCCTCTATAGGGATCACACTCTCACCCTTTGCTTTAGGAGCCCCAAGATCTAATCAAATGAACAATTAAAGAGCTGAACAAACATAGCAGCAAGAACAGAAGATGTTTCCAGGCCACAGGAGATTTCCTTCTCCTCCTTTTTGGGAAACTAAGGACTCCCTAGAGATTTAATCCATTATTTTTTTTTACCCCCAATAGAATGTAGTGGCTTATATCAAATATTTATTTTTTTAGGTCACCACCATTTTTGACAGTGTACAACCAATTTACTGCCTCAGTGCACCAAAATGCAACTCAGTAGCTTGAAAAATTAATGCATTTTCATCAAATTCTTAAGAGGCATCTACATCTCTTGAGAAAAAAATGGCCTTACATAATGCATTGGATTTGCCCATCATTAAAGATTAAGGAAAACCAGACACAAACCAGATGCACAGAAGTTTTCAGATCCTCTTTGTTACAGGATAGTATTAGATCAGGCCTATAAAGTTTTATTTGTTTGGACAATTCATTTTTCAATGTATAATTATTTGTAATGTTATAATCATAACATGTGCTTCTAAATACTTAATCCTTTTTTTTTTTTAAGTTTGCTTAGAATTGCATTGCAGTTGAGTGCTCAGGCTGTGGAGTCAAGTAAACCCGAGTTCAAATCTCAATTTAGCCACTTCTGTGACACTGGGTGAGATAGTGCCTAATTTCTCTTACCTTTAATTTCTTTATGGGGGGTTGGTGCATATAATTTAATAGTGCATATAAACTGCTAGATATGGTGCCCTTCATAAGGTAATTAGTACCTGGAACTGGAACACTCCATCTTTATTTCTTGCAGAGAGGCTTGCCCTTCAAATTATCCTAAACTGTTTCAGGTTTAAAGCAACTGATTACTAACTCAGGCAGGCTGCTCTGGTCTATCTCTCTAGGCCTCTGAAGCAAGTAACGTTTTCTGAGGCAGCCCCAATAGTGTTTCAGCTCGTTATTTTTATTACCCGGCATAGAGCAAGCAGAAGTTGCCATTGGTCATACACTCGATTCTCATTATTCACGGATTCAATTTTTGCAATCTGCTTACTTGCTAAAATTCATTTCTAAAAATCAATACTCCTCTTGCTTTTACATTCATTCATTGATATTCATTGAACAGCAAAAAATTCGCGGTTCCAGCTGACATTGGCCAGGTCAGTGCCCTGCACCGTCATCTCAGCTCTCTTACTGTGAGCAAGTGCCCGTTTTTCAGCCTATTTACCGCCATATTGTTTACATTTCTGTGCTTTTTACTGTCGTTGCTAATTCTGCTGTTTAATAACAGCCCTGAAACAGAGTGCTGACTTGCTGGGCAGTGCCCTTAAGCACAGAAGGCTGCGATAGAAAGCAGACCAGAGGTCGCCGGGGTCGGTGGGTCAGGTAGTTATTGCTTAATGATTACAGATTTTCAGTTTGGAAGAGGACAAAAGTCTGGAGATAGATGGAGGAGATGTGTGTACAACAGTCTGAGGAGACTGAATTATCACTGAACTGTGAGCTTAAAAACAGTCAAAATTGCAAATTTTACAGGATGCGTACTTTCCAACCATTTTTAGAAAGCTGTGATAGGTCTACAGAGGAAAAACATTCCTTCTGAAAAAATGCATGTGTTAGATGAACTTGGTTCAGTCGATGGGTTTAGTGCTGTTGTCTGAGTTCAACAGTAATGAGTGAATGCTGTATATTGAATAAGATGATTTCACACAGAAACACACATAAAACAAGGCTATCTACTAATTAGTTGATGAAAAGAAGTCAGGACCTGAGGTTTACCTCACCCTGCATGTTCTTTAGGAAGAGTCAGCTTTTGCATGCTAACGCAGTGTTGTCAATGACTTCATAAACATGAATGGTAAGGATTGACTGAGCTAACCAACCGCTCCAATACTTAGCCCACTCATTATGGGATGGGCTAAGAAGCACTTAATTTCAAGAGCTTATGTTCTGCCTTTAGTGGTAGTGCTTGCAGCCTTTTGAAGGCAGGTGGCTGAAGGGCTCCTTTCTGTGGTCAGCCACTTGGGGCTGCTCTCAGAAAGAAGACGGGATAGTCTGATATTGGGATGAGTGAGGAGAGAAGAACTTCTTCTAGTTGACCAGGAGAACCTGGTCTTCCACCCCTTTGACTTTGTTTTAGGTCATCTTTGAGAGCAGTTTCTCAAGGCAGCCGGGATTAGGTGGCCAAGGCAGCACCTCATAGGGCTGCTGTTCTTTGTGCTTGGTGGGCTGCGGTGGACCAGGTATGCTCTATCAGTAAGGTAGTAAGCATGCTTTCCTCATCTCTCTACAGACTATCTCACAAGAAGTTTAAGAGTACAAAACATATTTACCAAAGAAGTTTATGATCTTTCTCTTTCCAGATTCTGGGAACTCTTGACCTATGAGAAGTTTAATAATGTGGTCCACAACTAAAAGAAGAGATTAAGAATTATGATGAAAACGCTTCATGAAAAATTCAAGTATTTGAGGAAAACACTCAGAAAGTTATATTTTGGTCACCCTTGCCATTTCTTCCAGATAATATTTAGTAGTACTCCACGATGACTATTCCTTCAAATGGGACAAAACCAGAGTACTCAAACATGACAATGTGGGAAAGCAGGATCCCACTTGAGGATGACTGGCCATGTATGCCTTCAGTAAGCTATAATTCAAATATCAACAAAAACTCAAGCATTATTGAACTAGGAATAATGGGTGCGTAGGAAGAGAAGACAGGAGATGGTAATGTAGCTTTTGTTTTGCTACTTATATTTTATATAATTTTGAATAAGTCAGTAAGCTTTTATTTACAAATGTATTCATGTATACATGAATTCAGTTATTTTATGAAATATTTGAATATATTTTATGGACCTACCACTATGTTAGATTATAAAGATAAAATACCGAATCAAACAGATATAGTCACTGTCTTCATGAAACCTGTGTTCTGGTTCTTCATATAAAATAGGACAGAATTTTATATGAAGGGACGAGAAAAGTTGTACAGTTTCAACTGAGATTTATCCCTTAAGATAGTGAGCCTTAAAACTTCTCATTACATTCTTAAAATTATTGAGCATTCCCCCAAATCTCTTGTGTGTATAGATCACTATCTGTCAATGTTTAACATAAATCAAAACTTGGAAATCTTAGCATATAAAATACATTTCATTTGCTGACAGATTTTTTTCTTTTTAAAGATAATTTTATTTATGTTTATGTCATATGTAATGCATGAGTTTATATGCATCACATGCCTGCATGCAGGAGCCCACAGAGGCCAAAGGGTGCTGGATCACCTGAACTGGAGTTGCAGGTGGTTGTGAGCCATCTGTTGTGGGTGCTAGGTACCAAACCTGGGTCTTCTGGGAGAGCAATAAGCATTCTCAACCACTGAATTATCGCTCCAGTCCTCAGGGTTTTTCTTACTATCACATGTGAGTTGTACAAAGTAATGAGTGTCATTGTGGCGAGTTCATGTACAAATATACTTTGATCATATTAACTTTTCTCTTACCCTCTCTTGACTTCCCTTCCCCTATTCACTTCCATGTCTGAAGTCCTCCTTTCCACAGAACAAATGTTATCACCTCAAGTCATGAATCTTCTTGAAAATTCCATTGTACAAATAAAAAAAAAGAAAAAGGAGCAAAAATACTCAGAATTATTGTGAAAATAATTTTAACTTCATGGCCTCTCTGGAAAGGTTCTAAGAGCCACCCCAGAGATGGGGAGCTCCAGAGCCCTAAGGTTGCCAACTGAATAATTCCCCCTCAACTTCTCTCTCTTCCCAATATCAATGGCTTTGCTTTTATGAGCTATCAAAATAATTTTTTTGGTCTTTTTGAGACAGGGTCTCCCTGTATCCCCAGTTGTCCTGGAACTACTATGTAGACCAGGTTGGCCTTGAACTCAGCGATCTGCCTGCCTCTGCCTCCTGAGTGCTTGGATTAAAGGCATGTGCCTTTAATAATTTAA